TTTTTTTTAGTGCATTTTTACGTTTTGTGCAAAATGAATACACAGTACGGCGCAGTCACCTCTGTGTGTGCGTGTATTTACAAGCAGTGTTTATTTCACTTCTTATAGACTACATTCAAGTAAACTGACATTTTCTGACTCTGGCTGCAACAAGGACAAATAACAGGCCATAGTTTCACTGAGCACCGACAAGCCAGGCAGGATTGTAAGGAAATGCCACCAGTCATACATGTTTCAACTTTGCGAAAAACAATACAAAGAAAAGTTATGCGCAAAAATGTGCTATTCACTCAGCAGTCTGATTTTTAGTAAAGCATACTTTACTTAATACTTGTGCAAATATGGGTATTATCACGTCTCCTTGATGAACCTGAAGCAGAAAAAGGGGGAACTGCGCGCCAAACAATAGCATTTATATTGTACTCGTTTAACTGTTTTGCAGGAAACCGCCATGGGAAGATATTGATTCTGAAGACGACACGCTGTTCGATCTGCCAACTAAAATGCCCGAACTTGATTTCTTTCAGTTACAGCCAGATGCGGCCAGCGTTGAAGGAGACGTAGTTTCATCGCCCTTTCTTCGATAACCAATTTCAAAATTTACTTCAGATTTATCATGAATTGTCAGCTTAGTGCCATTTTGGGGGGATATACAAACAAATCAATATAAGCAACTGATGCCCCTGCTGCGATTATGTAATTGTGTCGAAGTTTTTGTTCTATGCAAGGCCTGTATTGCAGATTTATGAAAACAGCATGTGCACTGTATGCTTGCCTTTGTACAGTAATGTTTACAAAGCGTAGATGTATAAACATTTTTGAAAGCACACCGGCTGTGCGGATGTAATTTTTTTCCACGGTTTGCGAAAGAAACTCAGATATTCAAATACTGTGCATCAGCTCGGAAGCAACAAACCCACCAAATCAGTGGGACCTCTTAGAAAACTTTTTAATGTCACACAAGGAGAAAATGGTCGTATATGGGCATTTTACGGATGTATCAGAAACACGAAAATGTGGATGAAAGCGCCATCCTGATTCATGGACACTTTTTCCTGAGACCTCAGTAATCACTACTCTTTGAGGGAAGAAATAGTTTCAGCTGCAACTTCAAACTAATATGTGCCCTGTATTTCAGTCCAATACAATATTTTCGTCAGAGGCAATTCTGGACTTGCAAATCTGTGCATTCAGTTTTGCCGCAGTCTCTGCTTCGTACTTTCACTCGTTCACCATCCACACTAAACTGGCAGCTGCTCCATTCGCTCCATTCTGTTTCCGGCCGCGGTTCTACAATTTATCTATAAATGAATCAGATTGAATGAAGAAATGATACCACTAAAAAAGAGTAGCAGACAAACTTGGAAGCTATATCAGAAGCTGCTGAGAAGCGACGTAAAATCTTACCTCCTTCTGGCGGTATAGATGTGGCGCAGCCATTTTCAACCACATATGTGTTGGGTGTAGCACTGACCAATGCTTCTGGATCAGCGGCAACACTAACATCGTGCAGCGTGCACAAATCATTCTTATAAGTGACTGACTGCAATTATTGCTTATCAATGTTATGTTTTAGTTTTTTTTTTTCTTTTCATTTATTAAACAAATTCATTTTTGTTCAGTGAAGCTTTATGAACCCACGAATTTTTCCTGTTTTCTCGCACTTATGATCACATCTACAGACCACAAATTTAACCGACCAAAAATTTTATGCATATGCTTGAAATTCCGTTCGAACTTGACTTAAAACTCAGAGCCCGTGCCTTTTTGAATCAGAGTCCTGGCTTGAGTATGAAGATTTTGATCTCGTGTTGAAGAGTTTTAAACTGGAAAATTCGAAGTACCTGGCAACGAAAATTATTGACGCAAATGGCAATGCAGTGTGCGATTGACGGGGTACCCCTCGAATGATCAATGACTTGTTTGTTGATCTGCTTGTTGCAGTGAGTAATAAAGAACGTCTCCTGCTGGCACGTGCGCTTGAATTGCTGAGCTACTGCAAATTCTCAGAATATAGGTATCGTTCACCTTAACTGCACTTCTGTACCAGTCCTGTTCCAAAATGTGATAAACCCTCTTTGACAGCAATATTCTGACAATCAGTACGGTCGAATGTCAGCAAAGAAGCACCTAGTTCATCCGAAATCAACGCTAGTCGATATTCGAAATTCAGAAGAGGGGAAGTCCACGCAAATTTCTCCTTTGACAACGCAGATCTGCGAATCTTTGAAAATTTCGTAACCGTATTCTCTCGCTGTCATTCTACTACTCTGATTTTTGCCTCATTCCGACAATTTTTATGCAGCCTAGTTGAAACGAAGGTGAGCTATTTTGTTCTACTTTCCGCTATAAGTTAGCGAGCCGTCACTCCATAGAATCAGTAATTTCCTAACGCAAACCAGAAATGCGTTTTAAATAAATAATCACAAACCCGACAAACAAATTTTATCGGAAAAAATATTTTTGTCGTTTACAGCCAGGTTTGCAATGCCATTTTCCGTTTTCATATCAGCACCATACAGGCGACATAGCTCATCAATCGGGTTATAATTTACTGAAATACATTCGAAGTATTCGCCAGCTGCATCCTGCAAAACATAAATTACTCTTCTCTGCCTGCTGGACAAGAAAATCGGCCGTGAACTTCAAGAATTTAAGAGTTTCCGGAATTTCAAATGACTCTTGCAAGCAGTACTCCAATCGAATGCTTCATTGCAAATTTAGATGAAAATGTAATAGTTTCATAGAACCGATAAAATCATTTTGGAATGCTGTGATTACTAAATTTATTAGCTGAGTTAGACATTAAAACTGGTTGTGAAGCGCATTTGGCAAGCGGTTACGGAAGGGAATCAAACCACTCCACAACAACTTTGTATTCTACCGCACTTCCTGGAGCACCTATATTGTATTTCGCACACGTACCACTCTATTCTATTTGTTGCAACCATTATGTAACGCAAATTTATTGCCGGCTTTTCCATAAGAGAAACACGACGTTCTGAATCGTAACCCAATTTACAAGCATATCCTTTGGCTTACTTGTAATGCAAAAAAAAAA